AGGACACGGTCATATAGTCACAGATAAGCGAGAGTGGGTTCGTGGGAAGGAGTGGGACTTGTGATGAAGCTGTTGACGGACAACAGGTGATTTGAGGGACCCGAGTCTGACTGACAGTTGCCATGTGGCAATACCAATACTAAGGACCGATAAGACAGAGAAAGACAAAACAAAACGTAGACTATCCAAAAAAATATCATCAAAACAGAAGAGATCTCGAGATCCAGGAGTAAAATTACAGTGTGTACTTTATACTTTAAACGTGTGTGTGTTTCTTACTAAAAAGGCATGTGCAAGCGAGCCAGTGTAAATATGGATTGTCGTGCGCTGGATTTTTATTCTCTGCCAGAAAAATAAAACACCCGAACAAGTTTAATGAGTGCTTGTTGTGGTGTGTTTTGTGCTTTTCAACCGAAGCGAGGTCGCCAGTTGTGACACTCCCCGTTGCACCTAGATAAGGTTGTACATTATCTGCACTAATTGATGGTTAGTTTATACCTGCCTAAATTACCCCCCCCCCCACACACACACGCACAGGAGCTCTGGTGTATCACTACCAGGTCTCTGTTTCTCTTTACTTTCCAATACTATGTCAAGATCATAAAACAGATGCGGTCAAAACAAAGACATGCACCTGTGGTGGATGTTCCACTCGTAGAACAAGCCAGTGATTGGGAAACCGGAGCCGATGAGTAGCAATTTGTAATAACCTCACAGATCAATTAAGACTTCCTGTTCGGCTTTAATGAGCAGCTGGATTACACTGGCAAGTGTTCTTCTCAACTTGTTTTGAAAAAATTAGTCAATCTCTAATCAAACGGGTCTTGGGCAAAAATGGATTACATGATTGCGGGGAGATGATCACAATAATACTCAATATTTATCAAATCCAGTTCCCCGGGTAAAAAAAATACATATTTCAAACTTGAACTCCAATACCTAATTTTATTCCAATCACTCTTGTAGGCAAACAAAGGTTACATTATGTTGAGCTCAGTGTACCGCGTGATAGTGTATCCCTCCCTCCCTCCCCTATCTCTTCGCCCATGGGACTCATTTGACGGTCAGATAACCTGGCAAACAGTGGAACATAGGCAAGCAATCAAAATTGGTCGAATATTGTACGCACCGAGCAAACTGTTCGGGTGATCGATCAGATAAACAGCAATAGACCAAACTCACCGTCGCACATGAACTTCCAATCCGTGTGCTGTGGCAAAATATTTATTGCACTCGTCACATTTGAAAGCATGTTTGTTCCCGTGTTCCATTTTCTCGCCCAAATCCGGCAAAAGTTCGTTTTCCTCAACTGAACTTGTGTTTGAACAGGAGGAACTACGTGTGAAATTCGAATCGGTCATTCCGAGTCCTAAATGTGGTCCCGATGATTCCGAACACATGGCGGACGAAGACCACAAAGGCAGTGGTGGACCTATCAAACCGGAAGGAGATAGCTTCAGTGAAGAAGCCTGTAGAAATTCCAGTGCTGTGGCTAAATAGGAGTTCGAGGTGATTGGTGCAGATGTGTTGACTGTGGTGGAGCAGGTAGAGTTGAGGTTTGCCGTCGAATCACTGAGAAATCGTTGTTTCAGGTTCATAAGTGCATTGACCGAAGCCGAATTTATCTGGGCAGATCCAAATAGCCCGGAAGGATTCACGGCCATGGGGCTATCCATCCGATCACGTGAGGTCAACTTTGAGGAAAGCTGGTGGTGTGGGACATTAACTAGTGGGTAAGATAATTGACCTAGTGCCATACTGTTCAAATCTATCGAATCCGATAAGCCTGGTGATGGCAGAGAGAGGTCTTGAATACCGTAAGAGTTGGCATGACCTGTCAGGTTCACTTCTGAATTTGGTGGGTTTGGTAACTTGGACGGAAAGCCTGGTAACCGTGTCGAATTGAGATCCACTGATGACCAGTTTGTTACGTTGTGACTAGACGATTTGATTTTGGAACCAATCAGCGAGCCGCGTGCCGTACCGGTGGTGTAGCGTGAACCGGATGTCATGGCGGCTGAGAACAGTCGAGAATCACGTGACTTTCTCACACGATTAAGGCGTGGGTCTGTTCCGAGTAGGCCGTTATTCGATTTACCGATTCTCAAATCCCGTGGTGCTGAAAATACATAATGGGATTTGAAAAATATTGGTCAGCGAGAGTGTTTGATCTAACTGTATTAACTATTACACGGTGTATTGCTTATCGAAATTTACTCCGAGTTACACGAGAATAGAATTGATTTCAGGTAGAATTAAAAATTGAAACTGTAGTGAAATTGGTTAATTCTTCAAGATGGTAATCTGTCTCACTATTCAAGCGTACATTCCACCTCGCACGTATGAATAGTATTGCGTTTTAAAAAGGAAACGATTCACAAATATGTTGGTGTATTTCAACTGTTAGTTCATCAACCTAAACCGTCCGTGTTTTGTTCCCCCAATTTCATTTCCAAATACGTAGTGAAAGGGGTTGGGAAAGAGCTCACCTAGATCAATTGGTACAGCTGTCGGGTCCAGGTGTAACGCGTTGTTTGGATTGAACAGAACACCCGCATCCGAACTGTTATTGATGGACTGCATTGGCATGAGGGATGCAGATTGTGGTTGTACCCAGGGATTTTTCAGTCGCTGAACCGTCCCCGAATTGTGGATTGTTGCCATCGAGGTCGGTGTTGTGGTTCGATTGAGTGGGGTTGAAGTACACGGCGGTGATTCATCGATCGTGGGTCCCGCGGACTGACTCAAAGTGACCGGAAAGTCCTGAGCCATACAGATCGATCCACCGTTCACAAGGGACCGGGACGAGAAATCGTTTATTGCGTTGCTGTTCGTGGTGGTTGGTATTGTGGTGATTGTCGAGGTATGCGGGAAAACGCCCCGATTTGTATGGGCTTCAAATGTGGCCAGACCGATCTCATGTAATCGGGCTAGTGTGCCCAATGGGTCAAACAACGAATTCTTTCCTGTCGGATTGCTGTTCTTGCACGGAGAGGAGTGCAATCCGATGGGGACTGAAATGGAGCACATTAGACGAGAAGAGATTTGACCAACTGATTGGGGTACACGTGTGCAAGTTAATTAGTACAGATGACAAGAAAACGAACAAAAAAACGAAATGAGTTTTTTATAGTTGACAAAACCGATTGGCCATTCAAAATAGTCTAGACAGATCTATTGAACTGATATTGATTGGATCTGGTTGAATTTTTACAATCCGGAGTAAAAGGTGTACACAAAGATGAACTAGCTGTCACACACCCACTTCACACGGATCGTACTGCAGTTTATTTGCTCACACTCGCGAGCGCGAGCGCGCGATTCTAACCACACTGAGTGCTGCCGTTTTCAGATCAGCACATGCAACATACACACACACACGTTCGTATCACTTTCTGCACCACAGACTGCCGAATTAATATCATTATTTTGTTAAAAGATATGTGAAGCTCAGTTCAACTAGGTGTGCATTGAACTTTTTCCAGGAGTCACCAATACACTTATCTCTTGTATATAGAATCACAGAACCCTTGCTTCTGTCATGACTTAACTCACATCTACCACGAAATATGAGCTCCTGGTAGATGCGAGGATTTTTCTTCATTGTATTCCAAAGCATTTAATTGGTGTGTGTTCTTTTGTGTGGCATGCTGGTACAATCCAATTGTACGGTTTTGTAATGCTGGGCTTCACAGCTATCGGACAAAATCATGTAAGCAGTAGAAGCAGTAGAATTCCGCGAAATTCGTTTACGTGCAATAATAGTAATATTTGTATGTGGATATCACATGGAAAATTGTCCCCCTCCCTCTGCTTGAAAACAAAGGACGAGTGAGGAGCGGATTTGTTGTCACGCTTTGAGTGAAACAAACAGTTCATCACAAAAATTACAAATAGGTGACAGAGCATAAATGCGTTCTTCATTTTGCACAATATGTTTCACGAATGTTGTTCGAATGAACCAGTTCTATTGGTTCTATCGGCTGAACGATAGTATTCCCGAACTGTGGTAATTTTCGGCCTCTTCTAATCAGACCGGATGATTTTATTCAAATAACTTATATTCGATCGGGACCCATCTTTTCTCTCATCCGATTGGGAAAGAATGTGCACATTTCTGTAGCCTTATTGGTGACCACCCAAAGTTTCGATAAAACTATTCGGGATAGGATGTCAAAAAATTGCATCAATGATGGAGATGTGTGCATGTCACCAGGTGCGGGGGGGGGGAGGAGATAAAAGGATGGGAGGGGTGTCACCTCATGCCGGATAAAAGTTTCCTCTGTCTTTCTGGGTGCAAAACTTCTATAACTCAATTCTATATGCATATTGGGGAATGTAATGCAATCAATATGTTCCGTTCCGACCAAACGAACATGCGAAGCTCATCAAAAGGAATCGTTTTCTTCTTTTCTTGAGGAATTACAAATTATTTGAAAACACATTACAAGGATAACCACGGGTTGCATGTTAAACAGACTGAAGAACAGGTTTTGGTGTGGGTGGCATGGAAAAAAACATTCAGTAGAAGTATACATGAAATCTCATGGGGAAAGCCTTCCTGTCATCGGCTTATTCCGACTTACCCACGCTCATGAATATCCAAACGGGAACAAAACTATCAAGATTTCTTATTCCCTCGAACTTTTATACCAAATCTCCCCCTGGGCAGGATAGGCCATGAAAAAGAAAGTTCCCTTTCAGGTCATTGTTCAACTACCCACTAGGGACACACTGGTGAATCTACCTACGGTTGACACAAGTTCACGCTAAGGTTACACGTCAACATGGGAAGTGCTCTGTGCCCATGCTGTACACCATGCTGTACATCGCAGTCTCCAAAGATGAGCGGAAAAGAAAAAAAATCTCAGTCGTTTATATGAGATCGGTACGGTTGTTTGAAATCGTCACAGACGCACGCACGCACACACACCTCATTCGGATTCTGGGGTATTCCAAATCGTCCGGTTCGACGCTTGAACTTACATTAGTTAACTATCTGGCACCATTGCACCATTCCAGATACACACACAGACACATGCCCGCAACACTCTTCTCGCCGGCCAGTTCTCCTGATATCTTTTCCCCTTTAGGGTTCTGGGCTCCATCGGGCATGCGAGTTTGGACAGCTAAAACGACGATAACGACGACAACTTTACCCCAGTGACAGTCTAAGGTCATTGACACGGTTGATAGTACGTATCAGGCGAGCTGGCACAGAAACCGCGTGCGAACGAGAGTGATAAGCAAAAACTGACAGTTCACCAAGCTGTGCGAAATGATGGCTCGCGGACATCATCTGGCCACGACAGCTCGGCACAGCCAGCAGAACATTGAATTCTCACGGGTATGAGAGGAAAAACGAACACACTCGTCTACGAATGAATCAATTAGAATTATTACGCTTTCACCATAGAAATGTGAGTTTCGCTAAACGTCATCTATGCCTGCCCATCGATTTTGGACACAGTTTACCGCCAGGGGGGTGGGGGGGGGAGGTAAAACACACAAATAATTGGCACGATACAAACACAGCGGGCACTTTTGTTTTTAGAAGAAAACTAGCCAGCATGGAGTTTGCGTTCTCTAAAGTTGAACCG